GGTCAGGAGAGAGCAAGAGAAATTTAGGGGCAACCTGTGTTGTTAGGTCTCTGGGAAGACTCTCTCTGTGAGGTCAAGATAAGCCTGCAGTTTGGTATTTCCTGAGTCCCCCTGTCTCTGGTGGTAGCAGTCTCTCCTGAGTCCACAGTGAAATCCATAAGGGAAATACTTCTGAACCCTCTGTGTTTCATTAGTCCAAATTTTATCCTAGAATAGGTAAAGCTCCCCCCCCAAAAAAAACAAAAACAAAAACACAAAACAAAACAGTATGTTACCATTCAACCCTTTTTTGTCTTTGTTTTTTCAGCATTTGCTCAGAACTTTTCACTGTTTTTGTGCTCTTCACTAGCTTGGTTCTACATCTTGACAGTGTTGATGATTTTGCTAAGGTTTAAGACCAAAAGTATTTAGTAGAAAATTCTGTGTTTTGGGGTTTAAATCTGCTAAACCATAATGCGATGGCCAAGTCTAGGTAACTCTGGATATAGAATATGCCCAGGGAATTGGAATGTTGATTTGGGGTTGGGTCAGGCTGAGGGACAACCTTAGGAACTCTGATCCAAGGATGAGTTGCTAGTGTTGGCTACATGACATTTCAGGAGCATGGACATCATCATGACCCTGGAGAAAATTCAGGTTGCTTGAGGGCTTTTACTCATGTAATTTCTCTTGCTTGGAACTTACTTTTTCATACAATGCTAAGTTAAAATGTTAGTATTTTCTCCAAAACTAGTTTAAGAATTTTCTTAACAATTCTTACTTAATCAACTCATTCATTCATTTATACATTTATTAAATACTAGAAGCCTGGTGTATAAAATTCGTGCATGGGGATGTGTGTCCTTCAGCCCAGCCTGCACTCTTACAATCTAGGACTGCTGGCTCCCAACTGCTCGCCTACTTGCCTTCCTGATTACCTCTAACCGCTTCTGCTTGACAACCTGATCGCCCTCAACCACTCCCCTGCCAGCCTGAGTGATGCCTAACTGTCAGCCTGATTGCTCATAACTGCCCTCTCCCACAGGCCTGGTCACCCGAACTGCCTCTCCCCTGAAGGCCTGGTCACCCCTAACTACCCTTCCCTGCAGGCCCGATTGCCCCCAACTTCCCTCCTCTGCCAGCCGAGTCACCCCTTACTTCCCCCTTGCAGGCTTGACCTTCCCCAACTGCCCTCCTTTGCAGTCCTGGTCCCTCCCAAATTTCCTCCCCTGCTGGCCATCTTGTGGTGACCTTGTGCCCACATGGGGGCAGCCATATTTTGTGTTGGAGTGATGGTCAATTTGCATATTACTCTTTTATTAGATAGGATATTTCTTCAGCATGCAAATATTTATTGGGTACCAAGTGCCAAGCACTGAGCTAAGTGCTGGAGATTCAAAACCAGTAAGGCCTTCATCTCCATCCCCAAAAAGCTCATTACTTAGAGAATTCTCACATCAACCTACCCAGATTGGGTCAGCTCAGTCTGTCCAATCATTCTTTAATATTCATGTAATTGGTTTGTATTCAATTTGTTGTTTTTATTCCTAGTATATTTTCTGAAGTGGTTTGCTTTCCCTGAGTGACTAGACATTTTTATTAGTAAAAATTATGCTTTTTTCTTTCTCTCTTTCCTAGTATAACTCTTTGTAGATTCTGATATTTTGCAGAGAATGGAGTCCAATAACATTTTGCTAATGTTTTTTCCTTCAAGGGTGCGTGAATGTTGTTAATTGATAATTATTTTTTACACATGATTATTGGTATTGTTAATAGTCATTGGAAGGGTTTGGGGGACAGGCTCAAGAGACATGAAAAGGGTCACCCAACACAGCTTCTTTAAGTCATCTATAGACTAAACAGAGCCTCTATTGTCCATTTACTTAACAGATACCTCAAGACACTCCCTTCTCAAAGTACCACAGAATGTTTGGCATTGGTTTCTAATAACAGCAGAGTTAAATGAAGGTTCCATCTATCTGGGTATCTCTTCTCTGTGTTGCAACTTTTCAAGTACAGCATTAGGGGATTCCCCTAATGAAGTCCATAAACAGTAACTTTCCTTCAAGCTGTCAATGAAATGCTGTTACTCAAGTGAATTTCAGTGACCTCCTTACTCTAGAGGGAGCCCAGTGTAGGAACAAATTTTTGTGGAGAATACACTGTTTGTTTTGCTGTGCTGATAATTTCCTCCTGTCTTTGAGGCTGTCAAATAACCAGGAAGCTTATTGTTTCTTAGGACAAAGGTATTTGCAGAGAAACTGATCAAACTATTATTATTAATCATCTCATTACTGAGGCATCACCAATGCTTTTGTGTATTTGAGGTTACCAAATAGATTCAAGTTTTATTCTGAAAATAATGGAAGCATACAGGAACAAAGAAGCTTATGAGCAAGGGGTGGGAGACTAGTTCTTTCTTCGCTAGGGCACACTGTGTTCGGAAGAACTGCTGCCTCATTCCTGCAGGAATGTAGCCCCTCTAGGGTTCTCTTAAAGGTAACTGTGGGCTATCATTGTTAATGAGATTTTTTTTTTTCTGATAAGGGCACTGCCATGCTCCTTGAAAAATGGACAAGGAAAATTCGTTATAGCACAGACAGAGGCTACTAACAGATGAGGTGAGATTTTGTCCTTTGCTTTGCTGAGAATCAAGAGGAAGAAGGGGAACTGTGTTGGGAGGAAGAGAAGCGCTTTCCTCCCTGTATCCATATTCAGAGCATTCAACTGCAGGATGACAGATGCAGTATACCCATATATCATTCTCACACAAGCTTTTCTTGTCTTGGACTGGCTGTCTAAGTGGCTAGAACGCTTAACCAAAGAGCCCAAGGCTGAATCTGTTCCCATAGGGAGCAGAGCATTTCATGGCTCACATTCTGCTCCAGGAGGCCTGCCCAAGGATAGCAAATATATTACAGATATTGCATGAACATATACTAAAAAGATGATTTGTAATTTATCTGAAATTCAAATTGGACTGGTTGTCCTGTATTTTTATTTGCTAAATCTGATACCCTACTTAGGGTAGAATATGAGAGATGGGCTTCAAAATACTCCTCCTACCTTATAAGAGCTGGCCATGGATTACCCGTCCTTGACTGACCTCAGTCTTCACCACAGATTAACTTTGGAGCAGACATGTAGGCAGACCCTGTTGTTTCCAGAAAGCTTCTGGGAGAGTGCTCCTGTCTTTCTTGGGTTTACTCTTACCACTTCTAATGACCACACCTAGCTAAAAATGGGTGTAAGATTGATATGAGAAGATATTCTGTGGGGTTTGGAGTATGTTTTAATGTGAAGGCAACAATAACAGCTTCGATGATTGGGAAAGTGTGGACCTTAAAGTTGGGGAGAATTGCCCTAACCGGTTTGGCTCAGTGGACAGAGTGTCAGCCTGCAGACTGAAGGGTTCTGGTCGAGAGCAAATACCTTGTTGTAGGCACATCCCCAGTAGGAGATGTGCAGGATGCAGCTGATCTATGTTTCTCTCTCATCGATGTTTCTAACTCTCTCCCCCTCTCCCTTCTTTTCTGTAAAAAATCAATAAAATATATTTAAAAAAAAAGGTTAGGGAAATGATTTAGGTGGGTGGGGGGGAGGGAGGGTGAGGCACATAAAGAGGAATGCAGTCCAAATGCACGTGGGGTACACTCAAAAGAGTTACTTGTCTGTCTTCCACCCCTTTCCTCTCTATCTCTTCTCAGGGTTTCATTCATTCTTATTTTCTTGCTTGTTCCCTTCCCTCAGTGTCTGTATAGCTTACCAAGGATTTAAGACTGTTTTTCACATTAGCAGTGTTTATTGTGAGAGCTTGTAGAGCCCATGAGGGGAAAGAATCCTTCAAACCAGGTCTTCCAAATACTCCTGGGGGGGGGGGGCGAAGATGAAGTGGGCAGCGACCTTCTTTCTCTTTTTTGAACCCAATAACCTCACATACGAACCAGGCTTTAGAGAATTAAAAACAAAACAACAACAAAGGAGCACAGAAATCTGACATTTGCATCACACTTCAAAGCTTCTGAGCAACTCCCCATTATACCATTTTATTTAATTCTAACCATTTAAAATTGTTGAAACACTGAAGGGGCTAAAGGATTTGCAAAGGCCACTGAGTGATGGAGCTAGTTTTTAATATTCAAGCCGACACCCTTCTCTGCAGGGAGGAAGGCAGAAGACACAGAGATGAGTGGAATGTTGGAGAGATACAAATGGAGCCTAAAGACTATTCCTGTCCCTCTGTTTCATGATGAATAAGCACTGAGCCCTTGACCACCAGGCCAGCTCACAGGAGGGCCTGGGACAACAGAGCTCAGGCAGAGTACTCTGGAGAGAGTAACTGCTGGGTTTGGGGCGGCCTCCTCTTGGGGTTCTTTCTCCTGCATGGAGCCACAGTGGTGAGGGCTGCATGTGCAGAGCCCCAACTGAGCCTCCAGGGAGCAGAACATTGCTGGTCCCTCCCTCAGTGTGGGTTGCTGAGAGAACTTGGTCTAGAAGCGAACACTGCAAAGGAGAGGTCAGAGAACCCGGGCAGTAGCAGCTGAAGAGGGAATCACACCCCGGGGAGAGTCACAGTTTCTCACCGAGTTCCCCACCTGTCTCTGGAGAGCAGCATTCAGGAAAAGGGGCCCCTAAAGTGGCTTCTGGTCAGAGGACTGAGGGTTGCCTTTCCTTCCTGGGACCTTCCAGCTTTGTCTTATCCACAAAGATTACATTGATACGGCCTCTTTCAAGGAAGTATAGCATGTTGGAAATGAGATACGAGGCTTGAAAAAGCACATTTGAATTAATATTTGGAAGGAGATACCCAGATCAAGGGGCACAGCTGACAGAGCTGGGCTCAGAGACAAGGTGTGGAGGCGACTCAGGTTCCTGGGTGTCCTGACCCTCCCAGGGCTGTCACGTGCTCCCTGGTGGCTTCCTCTTTCCCCACAGGCTGGCCCTGGGGAAGTCCCCACGGGGCACTATAAGAAGGCCCTGGACTCCGTGCAGAAGCCAGCTGCTCCAGCCAACAGCACAAGATGAAGCCCGGCCTCCCCTTCCTAGGAGCACTTCTGTTCCTCCTCGGCCCAGCTGCAGAGGCTTTGGTGAGCACTAGTCCCACTCCCAGCCCCTTGCCAGTCACTGACACTGGCTCCACCATCGGCTTCGGTGCTGGTGTCTCCAGCTCCAGGCAAAGCAGAGGCGGAGGTGGAGGCTTCGGAGGCTTCAGCTCAGGCGGAGGCTTCGGATGGGGAAGTTCCAGCGGAGGCGGAGGCGGAGGCTCTCGCTCTGGCTCTGGGTCCCAGGTGAGCAGGCTCCAGAGTCTGAGAGCTGCATTCATTCCCTTCCTCTCACTTTTTGGGGACCTGTATATAATTTCATGGATGGCTAGACCTGAGCACTCTCAAAGATTTACGACTCCCTTTGTTAACTGTTAGGCGCCATGGAAATGAATTAAAAACACGGGTGAAATAATTAAATTGTTAGCGAGAGAGATGACACCTGGCTTCTCCAGCAGGCGACTTTCAGGAAACAATCTAAGCTTTAAAGAGGGTCTCTGACCTGGCTGCACTCTAGAGCGGGAGGAGGGATGGGAGGGGCGCTCCAAACGCAAAAGAGATGCCCAGGTTCTCTCTGTGAGAACTGCCAGGGAAAGGGCCCCGCCTGTGCTGGCTGCAGAGAAGCTTGTCCGATTAATGTCCTGCCCAGCAGGGCCCCTGCGGACGGTGAAGGAGAGCCCTGGAGGGAGAGCGAGCCAAGGTGCTGTCTCATGGAGCCCCGACGGACTCTCTGAGCCTGGTTTGTAAAGGAGATGAGCAACAGAAGTAGGGGGAGGAGACGCTGGCCTCTAGGAAGGTCTTATTACACATGGTTATTTTCCCAGAGGAGTAATAGTTCTCTTTCAGTCTTCCTTACAGGGAATTTCTAGAGCCATTTTTAGTTGAAAATAACAGAAGTAACAACAAAGCAAACCATGCACTAGAAACCGATCCAGCTGGAAGCTACATCACAGAACGCATAGTGAGCCCAGTTCTTTGGGGAACGAGGCCTATGGACCTTCTTTAAAGAAGTAGAAAGAGGCCAGGTGGGGTGAGAGATGAGAGGGCAAGAAGCAATTCCTCACTTCTCTGTCCACATCAGCTCTGAGCCTCTTGGTAGGAGCTTTGCCTTGCCAAACCTAGGCTTTCCATGCTCCGGTGTGAATTGGGGTGCCATTTCCGCATTTCTGTGATCTTTACTCACAGGTCAGGTCCTATGCAATCATGTCTGGATGGAAGGGCCAATGGGAAAGGGGGAAGAAAAAACTTTTGCTTGTTGTTTTTGTTTTACTGCCAGGGCTAATATAGGCAATACAGATTTATTGAATAAAACATTGTTAGAATAGGATCCAGATAGAAATGGTAGCAATGGTATTCATTGGGTGCCTAAAAAATCCCAAGACTATATTAAGTGCATTATTTAACCCTAAGAGGTATATAAAATCAATGTTCCCATTGTAGAGATGTGAAAACAAGCCTTACAGTGGTGAAGCCATTGGTTAAGGTCACTAAGCAATCAAGTTCTGTAGCTCAAACTGTCTGCCCATGCTCCTCACCATCTCTCTCTATGCAGCTTTCTGTATTTTCAAGGTAGATAGATGAAAACTGCTTATTTTTGAGAGGTGAGTGCCCTGGGAATCCAAATTATGCGCAAATACTCTTTGTAGCCAGAAACCAGATGCATCATTTTATTTCATTTAATTAAATGACTTTCATGGAGATAATTATAACTTAACATTTTTTAAATGAGACAACAATAACAATTTATTTGGAAACTTCACCACCAATCAGAAATCAACAGGTGAGTAAGGTGATTAGCCAAAATAAGAGAAAATAAAAAGTAGGTCAAGAAACAGAGAAATCTAAAATGCCTATTATCTGATAAGGAGATGGATGTTTAAAAATAAATAAGAAATGGTAGTTAAATTGTGGTTAGAGGTTTTAATTTCTTTCCTGGTTTGCTTTTCTTTTTCTGGTGAGTCAGTATTACAGAGCCAACTTCTTTTTTACAGCAGACAGCAAGGTGTTACTCCCACGGTAAACCCAGTGTTCTAGGGCCGGCTGTCAGCTTGATGAGCTCTTTAGAAAATGGTGGAAAACCCCTTCATAACTGTCATTGAGCAAATTCCAAATGTATCATTTTCTGTACTTTGAAAATGTGGAGTGCCATTATTTTATGCCTTGAATCTTCACAGGCACTTAGACTTGGCTGCTAATTAGAGCCAATTGCATCCTCAAATCACAAATGTGAGGTGCACCTTCCGCTGTAGTGCTCAGAGCACTCCACATGCCTCCGGTGCCGCCCTCCAATGAAGGGGCCGCCATCAGGGTCCTCATTCCACAGATGAGAAAAAGCTCCGTGCTTTGCTCCACACAGTAACTGGCAGCGTCGGAACGAGAATGAGTCATGTACTTTTGTCATCAGGATAAGAGGTTGTTGAAAAAAAAAAAATGGAGGCTTTCACCATGAAAATGAGCCTGATTCCCTTGTCTTTCCCTCCAACACGGAGCCTGGCACTGTGTAGACACCAGTAAATGGGAACCGAACACATGCTGAGTTAGGGCCTACCAGTATAAGGTGTCAGGGTCCTATTTGCCCTCCACAAGGGGAATCACAGACCTTCCCAATAACTAAAGGGACAGGCACCTGCCTTTGTCTCCCATTCTCCATATTACACACACAGAGAGAGTTTAAGCATTCACCACAGAGACAGACCCATCACCATTAGCTTCATTGTCTTTGAATGCGAGGAGCAAAAATATCTCTAATGGGAGACACTGATCAAACTTATGGACCATTTTGATGTCAGCTGAGCACGCCGGGCTGATGATAAGCAGGATGGCAGCGGGGGAGTCTGCAGCGCTGGGACAGAGATGTTCCATAGAAGCTGGTGGAATGACTGTCAGCAGGGCTCATAATTATTTGCCTGCCTTTCAGGTGAACTTCAGGATGAAAAGTTGTTAGCTCGTGGTTTCTAGTTGATTGTTTGAGACTGCTGATGACCTGCAGTGTTTTTTGGGTTGACAGAGCTTTTCACAGAGCTCGAAAAATGGTCCAACCCTGCCTTGTGCCGCTAATTAACCTTCCCTTGTCAAAATGCAAAGTAAGACTTTTTTTTTTTTATTGGCACGGTTATTATAATAAGCTATTTCTTCAAAAGCCCATGATATATTGGTCCTTCTGTAAAAGGCTTGGCATGCTTGAGCTGGAGTCTTTCTATTTCAGAGGGAATTACAAAGCTGGTTCCCAGGGAAGCTGGCCTCTGTGACAGGCTCCCAGTATGGCTTGTCCAGTCCTTATTCATCCTGGCAAAGACCCTTCAATTCCCTGCCTCTTAGCTGCTGGTGTTCAGCATAAACTTGCTCATCCTTCCTCCTTATTCTTCAGTTTTTGTAAGTGTGTGTGTGATTGGGAAAAAGAAATTGAGGAATTATCAGGAATTTACTTGGCATAGGGAGTAACTCATGGAATAACTCTAGATTACAGAAGCATCTAGGTCCAGCTTGCTTAGGAATCATGGAGGTTGGTGGGCATTAAAATGCACAGGACTGACCTTAGCTGCAGCCAGCTGACCTCCTAAACTTTGCATGGAGTAGCCTGGGTATATTTCACATTCTGCAACCATTGCTCTCCTCTTGATAGTTTTAGAAGCAGATACTTTGTGTTGAGGTCCACAGGTGAGCTGTGGGCTGGCGGGCAGATGAGATCACCGGAAGGCACAGCTAGGTGGCTGCCAAGAGTTACTCGGTGAAGCAGTAGCAGCTATAAAAAAATGATAATTGTGGCAGGATCCCATTGGGGAAGTTCAAAGGGGACAAAAGGAAAACCACATCTTTCAAACCTGTCATTTTAAAATATGCAGTGGCAACGGAGTGTGAGCCTGAATATTTTAAAGAAACATCAAATATTTTAAAATGGCTTTTCTGAAAGTGGTAAGCTGGAAAACTTAAAAAATTTGCACAAGACCTTCAAACTCATACATTGTTCAGTTTTTAACAAATGGCTGGCTTCTTTTCACTTTAAAGAATGTTAATTATACCATTTCCCTGGTGAAGAGAGGCTATGAATTTGCATTGTATATTTTCGCTGTAACCCATATCCTTGATGTTTTTCTCATTCCTATGGTGGGTTGGGGGAAGGGTTGGGTTGGGGTTTGGGTGAAGGTGAGGAAAAGAAAATGAGTTAGTAGAAGGAAAAGGAAAGTAACATGTACTGATCACCTATTGTGATCACCCGGGACTTGGTTTACATCACGCAGTTAATTTGAAGGACAACCTGGGAAGTAGGTTATCTCTATTTGACAGAAGAGGAAACTGAGACTTAAAAAGGAAAGTGACAGGTGAGGTAGGCTAAATAGCCATCTCAGATGGTGACTAAAGAAAAAACTGACTTTATTTAGGAAAAGGGGTTGGGGAATGGGATATCCAAGGGAAGGGCTGCCCAGCACCGAGCCAGGGGGACACTGGGTACTGGTGGCAGCGCCCAGGAGCTGGAGTTTCATCCTTATATGCAGTCATTGGCAGGAAACTTTTGCACTCAGTGGGTTTGGGGGCTGAATGCGGGGTGGTGGTTTGGAATGTGGATGGAGTGCAGATGTGTAATCAGGTGCCTTCAGGACAGTGTCCATTCCTTGTCTGGTCTGACTCCTGGTATCCAGCAAGCTTTTTTTCTGGTCCTTTGCTCTCATGTGTAGGGAGGCTTACAATGACCATTAAGGAATCTATTGCCCCACACAGTCCTGTCAGATAAGTGGTAAAATTGGAATTTAAATTTAGGACTCTCACTCTCATTCATTATTTCCCTTTCCTTACATAAGGGCAGTAATAATTTTCTGTAAGTCTCCTCCAGAAAGGAGAATCTTCTTTTAGATAAAGGTGGCTAACACAGTGCTTTAGCCCAACAGGTGGGAATGTGGCGAAAATGCTAAGAGTAGTTACTGCCCGTGTCTCATGGCAGTTTTAGCTTGTTTCTATGATCTATTCATTTATGTATTGGACTTCACTTGCTTACCTCTAAGCACTCTTTTGACAAGCCAATTTCTGTCACTCCAGTTGCCAAAAAGCTCATTTCTCAGCTTATTACTGATGTCGAACTTATTTTTGTTTATAGTTTTCCAATTTCACCGGCTCCAAGGATGATCGAGGGACCTGCATGTGCTCGGTCGCCCTGCCAGACACCACATTTCCCGTGGACAGAATGGAACACTTGGAAGTCACAGCGCGCATCCTCTCCCAGAGGTTCGAGAGAGAGCTTTCTAAAGTAAGCACTTCCCCCTCTCCCAACAATATCTTAATAAGAACAAACAACCAAAACAGAATTCTTTAAAAATTAAATGTATTGGGATAACATTGGTTTACACCTTTAGGTGATTTTCAGGTGTACATTATAATTCAACATGTGTGCACTCTATGGCATGCTCACTACCTGAAATCTAGTTTCCTTCCATTGCCATATATTTGATCCCCTTTACCCACTTTACCCCCACCCCCCACCCCCCACCTCCTTTCTCTTCTGGAACCATCATTCTGTTGTCTGTTTGCTTTGAGTTTGCTTTTGTTAGTTCACAGAACACTTTTATTTAGGACTTTCTAAAGCAGCTGTTCTTCAAGGCATCACAGAGAGCATGTTTGCCTCCTCTGGAGGCTTTAGCGTTTATTTACAGCACACCTGTGGAGTTCTTTACAGGAGGAGGAAAGAGGGCAGGGGGAGACACGGCTTCTTCACTCCATGGGTACACTCACAGCAATATTCCAGTATTGCAGTGCTCATGCAGCTGGAAAGAGGCCTGGCTCTCCTTGCAAACCCCAAGTCTACAATTGTCTTTGTTCCATTGCTTTTAATTTCTTTTGGTCTTCTTGGTCTTCCCTCCAGCTTTGCTTTCTTTTCTTTCCTCTCCTCTATCCTTTTCATGTTTTGTTTTATCTTCCTTTTCTTTCACTTTTTATTCCTATTCCTTTACCCCCCTCCTTTATTTTTATAAATTTTTCTCTCTGCCTCAGCCCTTTCCCTTGTCCATTCATCCTCATCTTTCTTTCCCTTTCCTTTCCTTTCCTTTCCTTTCCTTTCCTTTCCTTTCCTTTCCTTTCCTTTCCTTTCCTTTCCTTTCCTTTCCTTTCCTTTCCTTTCCTTTCCTTTCCTTTCCTTTCCTTTCCTTTCCTTTCCTTTCCTTTCCTTTCCTTTCCTTTCCTTTCCTTTCCTTTCCTTTCCTTTCCTTTCCTTTTTTTTTTTTTTTTTAACTCTTTTTTGTTTTCTCTTACTTTTTGGAAGGCCCCCTCTCTTTCTCTTCCTCTTCCTTTTCCTCCTCCACTCCCCCAAATCTTCTGCCTCTTATACTCCTTCCTTTCTTAAGCTTTTTATTTATTTTCTTATTTCCTCTTTTCAATTTACTTTTTTTTTTTCTTCTCTCCCCCTTTTGGTGGTTATTGTCTATTATCGCAGTGGGAACAGACATGAGATGTGTCCAGCATAGACCAAAAATTAAGGCTTCCTGGGAATCTGAATCAAGACTAAAAGGTCACTCAGAGGGTAGAGACCTTGACTCCACCTCTGATTAGCCCTTTCCTCGAGTGGAGGAGGGTGTCCTGCAGGGCCTGTCTTCCTCCCAACTGGCTGGAGCAATGGGACTCCAGTTTTGACCCTTTCTGCCTTTTTAGCCAATTTAAAAATCAATTAGAAAGGCTCCCATTTTCTGCACAGGTGAAGTTCACGCTAGGCTATTATCACATTATACATTATTAATTACAATTCCATTAATTTACAAGGAGCTCTGGCCTACCTGCAAGATTCAAAATAAGTTTCCCTAGGACATTTCAGTTTAGCTACCACAATATCCAGCATAGTTATCCTTTAAGACAGAAATTATGGTGAGACTGGCATCCTGCTTTCAGCCTGAATTGGTAGATAAATATTCTAAATTTAAATGAATGTCCAGGAAAATGTCTTTGACAACTCCAGAAACCTAGCTTTTTAAGAAATAAAATGTCCTTGAATTAATCAGCAGAAAAGGCATAGCACTAAATTATAAATTCCAACCATTAATATTCATAGCCTTATTCCAGCATAATCAAGTACAGATAAGAAGTTATGCATAAAAACATAACAAGTGGAGGAAAATCCTAGGTAAAGATCTCTTCAGTAAGAGTCATTTGCTTTGAAATAGTGCAAGCTCCTGATTTGCATGTTTTCTGCTGGCAGGAGTGTGAAGGGCAGTGTGAAGCCCACGCTGCTCCAGAGAGCACGTACCCTGCCAGTTTGTGAATAACGGGCATTTGATTCCAATTCTGCGAGAGGGGCAGGTGGCATCTGCCTTGCTAATAATTGGCAAGGAGGGGATTCAGAGTAGATGGGGAAACTTTTAGTTCTGAAAATGTCAGTAAGTTGTCCTAAAGATATTTGTGATTAAGGCCTAAGAAAGAAATAGTCCTGCCTGTTGAGATTTGCATATTAGATAGGTGTGATAGTTGATAATAAAAATAATGTTAATGTTATGTTTGTGCTTTTCTAAATGCTCCCATTTCTATTTTACTCTCAAGGCAAAGAGGCCCATGTTTTCATTCCCATTTTAGGGAGGGAGAAACAGGTTCATAAAGGTAAAGAGACATAAAAATAAAGGTCATTGCTCTTTGGCTCATTAATCCCAGTTCTATTTCCTCTCTGCCATCCCTCTACCATCCTCCAGTGCAGACCCAAGAAGAGAGGCAGTAGGTCACTAATGCCTTCAAACCCAAAGTTATCTCTTCAGCTGAGAGCTTTTGAGTTTCCAGGTGAATTATTATAGCTGTCCCTAGGTTGCCTTGGAAATCACCGTTTATCTAGAGGCCTGGGGGAATGCCCATTTGGGCAGACCAGTAGAAAAGGGTTTTCACTGCCTTACATTGATTCATTTTCTGCCAGTACACAGAGAAGACTTATGTCTCTGTCTAAGATGCTGAAAGCGCTTTATACTTCTCTGCTGTTTATAATTCGTCCTCTTGTGACTATACTTAGGAAGAGGATGACATAAAAGGCAGCTTAGAATTTTATTTCTCTAGAACGTTATGTTCTTTGGGGGCAAGTTATTTAATATCAAGCATTTGCTAATAGCTCTTCATTCATGATAAGGTTGAGGCAGTCTGTAAACATTTAGGCAACTCATAAACAAGCAACATTGATTGAGCAATGTTTTGTGCAATGATATATAATAAAAGGTCAGATTGAAAAAAACACACAAAAATCACCGTTTCTCTAATAATTGCTGTAATTTATTGGGTTTCCATTATGTTAGCCACTTAAAACATATTATCTGTAGTTTTCACAATAATCTTGCATCTTGATACCTTTATCCCCAATTTATAGGAAGAAACTAAAACTTAAAGAAATTAAGTGATTTGGTCAAATTAGAGTTCATGTGGGTGTAACTCTGAGGTGCTTCATATGTTGTGATGGTCAATTCAAGCTCATTTAATCTCATTGCATTATTTTGAAAGATATCATCATCCTACCTAATAAAAGAGTAATATTAAAATTAACCATCACTCAGCTCCACAAGCCACACCCACCAGCCATGCCCTCCAGCCAATCAGAGGGAGTATGCAAATAAACCCAACCAAGATGGCTATAGCCACAGAGAGCAGGAGGGAGGCGTTTCCCTGGCAACACAGGAAGCCAAGCTTTCCTCCTGCCCTTGCCAGCCTAAGCCTCCACTCAAGGCTACAAAGTTTCAATTATAAAAGGTAAACAAATCCAAACAGAAACGGCTGCCACCACTGAGTGAACAGGAAGCTTGGCTCAGCTCTAAGCTACAAAATTTCAATTGTAGAAAGAAAATATATCCTAGATAACAGGGCCTCTGCTTGGGTCACTGGGGTGTGTGGTTGGCCTGCAAACCACCACAGGCCCCTTGCTCAGGCCTCCCCATGCCCCAAGGGAACCCCCATCCTGACCTGGAACACCCTTCAGGGCAAACCAGCTGGCCCCCACTCATGCACCAGGCCTCTATCTTATCTAATAAAAGAGTAATATGCAGATTGACCATCACTCCAACACACAATATGGCTGCCCCCATGTGGTCAAAGATCCTGCCCCTATGTGGACACAAGATGGCCACCACAAGATGGCCAGCAGGGGAGGGCAGTTGGGAGGCACCAGGCCTGCAAGGGAGGATAGCTGAAAGGGACTAGGCCTGCAAGGGAGGGCAGTTGAAGGCAATGAACTCTGCAGGGGAGGGCAGTTAGGGGTGATCAGGTTGGCAGAGGAGGGAAGTTGGGGGCAAACGGGCTGGCATGGGAGTGGTTAGAGGGTGATCAGGCTGGCAAGTAGAAGCGGTCAGGGGCAATCAGGAAGGCATGTAGGTGAGCAGTTGGGAGCCAGCAGTCCTGGATTGTGAGAGGGATGTTCCAGATTGGAGAGAATGCAGGCTAGACTGAGGGACAACCTCCCTGTGCCCTCATGCACTAATTTCATGCACTGGGCCTCTAGTATCTAATAAAACCCTAATATGCAAATCAACCAAACCACAGAATTGGTTGCTGATATGCACTGATCACCAGGGGACAGACACTCAATGCAGGAGCTGCCCCCTAGTGGTCAGTGCATTCCCACAGAGAGGAGTGCCACTCAGCCAGAAGCTGGGCTCATAGCTGGTGAGCAGAGCTGAGGTAGCAGGATCCTCTACCGCCTCCATGACAGTGCAAGAACATCAACTTTGATTCTTAGAACCCATCAATGACATAATATGTGTACAATAAATATAAGAATGGACGCTCTGAATTGAAGGCCAGCATAGATGAATCTTCAAACTTGCAGTGATGAGGAAGAGCCTTGGGTAGAGATATTGACACAGGGATATATCTCCTTAAGGCTAGACCCATATTTTTCTGCACATCCTAGGGCAAGTTGGGCTGCCTCAGCTAAGACTGTAGCTTCCAGAGAGCTGGGATATTCTCAGAATTTTCCATGCCATCTCAGTATTAAGGATTTGTATGTGTAAGAGGTTTATACTAACAACCCACTTGGACTAGTAAAGTTTAGACTGTGAAGATTTTCTGGCTCATCTTCAAATTCTGCCCTGTCTTCCAGAGCTCCATGGGTGATTCCAGTTTTCCTGAACACAGTCTCTGCTGAAAGAACTTAAACTTTCCCCAAACAGATCTCCAGAGACCTTTCATTTAGCAGCTGAACAAGTGCCAGCACACCACACATTCTCATAGCAAACAAACTCCAAGTTATGCCTTGATTTTCAGAGAGAGCCGCATTTTATTCAGCACAGATGACAGTTCAGTCATTCATTTTTTGTGGAACAACAGCTGCGACGTGCCACCAAAATGTTCCAGGAAAGCAGAGGGTGTTTCATTTGTTCTAAGAGCTGGCAAGGCCAAATGCCAGCAGGAATACTCATTTCACAAACTTTCAATTCTGCAATGAGTTGTCACTTTATTATTATTATTATTTTATTATAGGCTAGGTTTTATGTAAAATTTATTTTATTTTATTTTAGAAATTGAAACCTGGTTACCTTATATCTGTGTTTGCACTTTGGAGGCTCGCTTATTAGGTTTCATACATATATATGTATATATATTTAACCTCCTTATCTGCCAAAATATCACCAGCCGATCATCCTCTGGGTGATGGCACATCTGATGGCCGTGAGCATCAGTTGCCCGAGGAGATACATGAGCAGTGCCAACGGCTGCATTTTCAACTTTCATTAAAATCCTCTCCGCCTGAAGCCCTGGCTCTTTAGGTCTGCGGCCTATGAGTCTATACTAATTTGCACAGCGGGGTTAAGTGGAAGGGCTAAAATGACAGAAATTAGGGCTGCCTTTAGCATTACAAGGATTAGAGGCCAACAGCTGGCCCTGAATTTATCCAGGCACTGTGGATCAGCTACTTGACATTAGCATGGTTTGGGGAAAAGTATCACTTATGTTCAAATTTTTAAAAAGAATGTAAAACCAGAAACTTATAATGAGCAGATCCTTAAAAAAACAAACAAACAAACAACAACAAAAAAACCCAAACCATGGCATTTCTTTTAGAGATCAAACAGAAAAAACCAACTGTGTTTATTGAAATATCCATTTGGCGATTCCAATTATACATTAAAATACCAAGGGAATTTTTGAAAGTATTTTAATGATCAGACATTTAAATATATGCAACAAATGTGTAATTTTAAGGTCTGATTGCAATTATAAGTTCTTGGAATAAATATGGATACACTTAATGAAATGTACATGTACATTCATATTCTATGTAGTAAGTTAAGTCTTTATGCCATTTTATAAAAGGCAGAGTGGCTCAAAACTCATTGCCAAGGAAAGAATTGTACTTAGTGCATTTCTTCTTCTAGAGCAGTGGTTCTAAATGGAGAAAGATGGTGGTAGAGGTGGTGAAGGCGAATTTGCCCCCAGGAAATACTTAGCAATCTCTGAGACATTTTTGATTGTCACCCCTGGGTGATGGGTGGGTGCCTTTGGCATTTAGAGACCAGGGGTGCTGCTAAACATCCTGTAACACACAAGAAAGATATAGTCCCAAAAGTCAATAGTGCTGAGGTTAGGAAACCCTGATTTAGAGCATATGCTTTGAAGGGAGAGTTGATTCAAACAGTTTAGTTTGGAGAGCTGATATCTTCAAATATTAATTCAAAGATGAAAATATACTTGCAAATGATGATTCTGAAACAAAATTATTGTTAGTCTATAAAAGTGCAAAATCCACCTCCCCAATTGTAGTAATAATTTTTTTATAGTTTTGATTTGGCTAGATGAAAAAATATATTGTTAGATATATTTTTGATCCATTTCTTTAATGATAACAGCAACCAAATTGCCCCCAAGGGTGTGGTAGTAGAGGAAGACTGTATGATCCCACTCTGATAACTGACTTGAGATTTTTTTTAAATTCCATTTTAGGTCAAGGAGTATGTCCAGTTAATCAGTATTTATGAAAGGAAACTTTCAAACCTAACTGTCCGAGTAGAGATCATGGAAAAGGATTCTATTTCTTACACTGAATTGGACTTTGAACTGATCAAGATAGAAGTGAAGGAGATGGAGAAGCTGATCATCCGGCTGAAGGACACTTTTGGTGGAAGCTCAGTAATTGTTGACCAGCTAGCAATAGAGGTAAGAGGTGAACTCACTTCTCAGTGTATTAGTAATAACTGTCCTCAGTTATCAGTGGTAGATGTACAGATTTCTTTCTCCCGACTTCTAATTCTGCACTCTCTCAGGATCAGGTGATATATCCCAGTGTTCTGCTTAGATGGTAAGTTAAACACAAGGGGGACATATTAACTGAGGAGCAGGTGTCAACTAATGATCAGGGTCCTGCCCCAGAGCCAATGGCATTTACATGTCTCTAGAAAGGAGATGACATGAAACAACTTTATGGACAACATAGACCAAGTGTCTTCTCTATTCTGGTTTTATCCTCATGGGACTAGAAGCCACAATTTACCTGATTTTGGTAATTTTCCACATTTTGGAAAAGGAGAAACTAGATCTGTTTCTCCTTTTAGGTAGACTATTCATGTAGTCCTCCTCATGTAGTCCTTGATCCCTCTTGGAATTTCTACATACTGGCAACCCCTTTGAAGGGAGGCTCTTCTGAATATGTTTTAGTGAAGCCTTTTAAACTCTCTGGATAAAGACCATGGTTGAGTAATTTATATCAATGAGAATTTACTAGCACAGCTATGACATAGGCTATAACTGAGAATTCTAGTTACATATTTTAGAATTTAAATTGTTTTTTTTTGGTGGCTCTAACCACTCATTAAAAACTTGATAATGATACAACAGAAGTAAACACAAAGTTAAAGGAGGAGGTTATTAGAAATGAACAATAATGGACATTTGTGGGTGCTTAGACTGAGCCTGTGCTCTATTATTGAAGCTGTTAAAATCATTGCCATTTTCTCCTTGTCACACACATCTGCCTGAAATCTGACAGGCATTCACGCAAAACCATAAAGTGTATTCTTCCAAATGAAACCATTCAGGAGAATCTCGGGTGTATTCTCTAGCGATGTTTCACTAAATGACAAATTCAGCCTCGGAATGTTTATGAAAGAAATTGCACAATAATATAAAGTCGCTCTGAATTTTTATTTTCTTAGATAAGGAATATGACTCTCCTGGTAGAGAAGTTGGAGACACTGGACAAAAACAATGTCCTTAGCATTCGCCGGGAAATCGCGGTGCTGAAGAACAAGCTGAAGGAATGTGAAGACTCTAAAGATGTACACATCCCTGTTGCCCCCCCTCCTCCTGCTCCAGGTAAGCATGCCACATTTCTATCCCTTGAGCCAGGCCCCCAGGAGCCTAGAGTGGGGTGGGGAAGGGATTTGGATTGTAACCCTAAGCAAGGATGGGCATTTGCTGTCCTGAGTTCACCCTTCCATGTCTTAGATCTCCTTCCCTAGTAGCTTTACAAACTATCACACTCTGGAGCTCACAGAGGAAAAGCACAAACAATGAGTTGATTTAAAGCAAAGTGCACATGTTACATATATCCCCTCTGCATTTACTAATAAGACAAACATTCCTCGGTGACAGAGTTGCTATCAGGGGGCCTGTGAGAGGGTCTGGAATCTGCATGGCCTCCTTGCTCTGTGGGTTGTAAGGGCTGATTAGCTCCTTTAGCTGATGAGCTGGGGTTATGAGTTGAATCTAGAGTGAGAGGAAGGGAGAGGGAGAGAGAACAACATTCATCCATTGCTGGATCAAACCTGCAACCTGGGTATGTGTCCTGATAGGGAATCAAACTCAGACCTCTCAGGACACAGCATGACGCTCCAACCACCTGAGCCATCTGGCCAGGGCTCTCTGAGCACATGCTGTATAGTGTCTCTTGGGATTCAGTGAGGATTTAACCGGTGGCCCCACAAGTCCTGTACTTGTGGGTGTTTCCTGTTGTCCATCCTGATCTGAGTTCCTGGAGGGCAGAGGTGGCATCTCTCTAATGAATCACACTTGGAATCAAGGATAGCATAGAGATGGGTGCTCTGAAAGTACCCCATGAATGTGAATGGAAGCAGTGGAATGTAGGGGGCAGGAGCATGGTTTTGGGTCTTCAAAGACCTGAACTCCCCAGCTATGTGACCACAATGAAAAGATCCTTAATCTCCTCACTATAAGATGGGAGAATAGTAGTGCCTGCCTTGCAGGGTTGCTGTGAGGGTTAATGAAACAACGTTTGAGGGGCTCAGAGCTCTGTGATCGGCACTTAAACACTGGCGGGTGTTATTATTACTAACGAGGATCATCGAAATGAAAACCTTGCTGCGAACAAAGGCAGTGCCATCCTTGTGTGCGTCAGCACATCCCTCCGGGTGAACCAAAGCCAGCCTGTGCTGCGGCAGTCAGCCCTGTCCTTTAGAGACACCTTGTCACAGGGAAACAATGGCTACAGGCCTTGAGCAGCTCCGTCTGAATGAGGACTGAATCTTTGCATCAAACGGTCAGCTTTTGCTATTTTCATTAATTCCTATTGTCAAGCCTGTTTCCTTTTAGGCCCCGAGTTTCCTGGTCCTTGTCAGTGTGGCTGGCTTCTGTAAGGCTTTAATGAGACGCTGCCATTGTTTTAAGCCTCTTGGTCCTGTTCCTTCTGTTGTTGGGACTCTGGGGCAGTCTGACATACAGAGGGGGTTTAGGACAAAGGCCATGTTCTGGCCTGTGTGACAAAGTGAGGCTCAGTTGGGTCTGGGAGCAGTGATGTCAACGTACATTGTAAATGAGAGTTCGTTGTGCTAGGCCACCAAGGGCTCCTTGAGAGCAAGAGTCGAAGCACTGATACCCCCTGATAATACCTGAGCAAGTCTTTCTTCTTTTCTCTTCTCTTTCTTTTTTTAACTTCAGCAAATTTTCCCAAAGGGATAGATTTTTCTGGCACAGTCTCCTATGCATCCCTTAGATTGAGGACATTTGGGAGTAGCAGTGAGCATTCAAGGCCACTTAGCCCAGGCCCATCCTTTCTCAGAGGAGGGGGCTTAGATGGTGAGGACGCGGCTTTTCCTGAGGCCACATAGGTAGTGACAGAGCTGAGGCTGAAATGCAAGGCCCTTCCCTTCCTGGTCCTCTCAGGACTGACAGTGTCAGGCATCAATAACTCAAGGGCAGTGATTGCGGGGGGAAAGAACACTGCCTAGTATCTAAGGAGGAAAACAAGTGAGTCTGTTGGATTATTTTTGTTAGAATATTTTCTCCCAGAACTTTCCCCTAGGTCTTCACACTTATAGACTTTTTGTCAGCCATCCCAGCCCAGCTGTGTTGTTCAAGCAAATTGGACCCAGATTTCCTCTCACTTTCCTACAACTTTGGCTGAACCTGGATCCGAGCCAAGCCACTTGGCCCTCCTTCAGCTTTGTTCATATTATATTTATGATGTTTATATTAAACCGACTTTTTGTCATGCTTTTAAATCAATTTCTTTCACTTGCTCTCTTTCTGTTTGGATTGGTTGATAATGCAGAATTGAAAAATCCCCAGGCTCCACCAAGTTGTGAGCCTGTGGAGACTTTAATTAAAGTTCCTCACTATTATGGGACTCTAAAATCTGGCCTCTCTGCTGTTAGGACTGCAGAGCTGCACTGAACAAAAGAGCATGCATGCAAGTCTCAGCTCTGAAGTCATTCTGTGTCCTCTTGCCCCCTCCCTTGCAGCTGTGGGTTTGCTATCCTCAAGGTCAGCTTGGTCTTAGAACCAGGACATGCAGTGAGGGTTCAATAAAGTGCACTTTACATTTGCTTTATGCTGCAAATGGTATCTTTTTCTGCTTCATTTCATAGAACTTCCTAATCTAAAATAATTGGCCTTCTGCTCATTAACTTTTTCTTCCTGAAAAGAACTGACTCTGTCTCTCTGTTTTCCCCTGAATCTAAATGACTGTGTAGGCAAAATGTGATGGAAATGTTCAGGGGTTGAGCACTATTGTACTCAGAAATGCTAGGCTCTGTGCTGACACAGGAAGGTGCTCAGTCAATGGTTGGTGACTGACTAGGGTGTGAAAGATTTGGGGTGACCTGCCAAAATCACAAGCTTATGGGAAGAGCAGAGTGTTGGGTAGCATATACCCAATAATTCAGAGTCAATTTATTTTTAATTATGTTATAATTATTACCATTTTAATTGCCTTATTTTCACAAGTCAATTGTATTTTCCTTTTGGCTCAGAATTCACTTGTCCAGGTGAGAGAGCACATTGAAACTAAGATTAAGTTTCCTCTTCAGGTATATAATCTTTGGCTTTAAATAAAAGTGCTAACCATGATACTTTTAAAAAGCCAAGTTACAGAATTTAAAGTTTCATCATGTGGCTTCCCAGGATATTTTCAGAATGTCATGGCAATAGCTAATGAATTACATGGTGAAGAGATTACCAGTCAAGGCTACCATTGTGTAGAGATTCCTTGTATGATGTGGTAGGAAGTGAACACCAGGGTCTTTAAAAAATTCAGATATATAGCAAGAAAGAGAGCTGATATTTTATCAATAAGAGTAGATAAACTGGTTTTGAGAGATTTGATTGGTGTTTTATTCCCTTATTCCACAAACACTATAGGTCTGGTCCTATTCTGAATACTGAGTACTGGGGTTACCGGGATGGGTATAAAACCACTGTCCAAGAAGGGAGATACAAAGGGAGATAGTCATGTAGACATTCACTGGTAACATGATAGTTACCATTCACTGAGTTACACATACCTACCTTTTCTCTATTTCTCCAAACAGTCCTGCAGAGTTGGTATTAGTATTTTTCTTAGAGGTTAAGTAACTTGCTCAAGGACACCCAGCTAGTAAGTACTGGGATCAGGACTGAATTGAAATCTGCCTGGTAATATTTTCATTGTGCCAGGCTTCCTTCCACAGATGCTCTAGGAGAGAGGTACACCTTTGACTCCTGGAATGACAAGAAATTTCCAGCAGCTCACCAACCAGATTAATACCAAATTACCTTTTCTTCTTACTTGTGGAGGATCTAAAGGGGCACTTTTGCTTTCAGTTCTATGCTGTGTTCTCTTCTAGCAGAAAATGAAAAATGATCCATTGTTTTTTCATAGTTCTTGTGACATGGCTGGGCTATGGGTTGTTATGCCAGTAGCAGGGTAAAGTTGGGATGGAGGGGTAAGGAAGGGAATGGAGTATCTCTAACATACTCCTGAAATGAAGGAAGAGACTGGGAGGGGGGTCAATATAGGAGGGATGGGGAGAAGCTTAGGGTAGGTGAGTAGGTGGGGAAAGGGTTGGGACTCTGGCTGGGCTGGATGAACAGTGGGTACTGGCTGTCAGTTACAGCATTGTTTCCAAGAGTGTTTGCTGCCAGGAACCAGGGAAGTCCACCATAACTTTGCACGGCTATAGTCACATCTGTAGTATTGGCAACAATGCCTAGTTTTTCCCCTGCATTCACTTATCACCAGAGCCAGGATCCTAAAAATGGCCCAAAGGAGAAGAGGATAAAGTAAAGATAGCAAACAAAACAAAACAAAAACAACAGACAGGAGATTATTTAGGAATGGTTGGGAGGTGAGAAAAAGAGATTTAAGTTCATAGAGTTTTAATATTTATACCAGGTATAATTTTAATTTCCTGGCCAACATATGAAGTGATAAGACATTACTATTATTATTGCTAGTTGTGGTAGTGATTTTAAAGAAAATATTATTTTGGTTCCTTCATATATAAGGATTTCCACATCTAGGACAGAGTAGTTTATTATCTTTAACCCCATGGTGATGATTGAATTAGTTATATGCATCATAAATTTTCTTTAAATATTTTTGTGGCTATTGGTTTGGGATATTTCCTTTCCAGGAAGGCATGATTCAATTAAGCAAACAATTCCTAAGTCTTCTAACCTGCAAGAAAAAAGCGGCTTTCTTTCATTTCCTTAGAGTGAAAGGTAGTTAAATAAATACGTTCTCAGGAAGGTATTTTAACTAGACAATCTAGTTTGTAGCATATGGAAACTCGAATACTTTTTGTTATCATTAAACTGAACACACCGCTAACTTTATTTTAATAATTATGCATTGTTTCATAAACAAAAGCAAACAAGCATTCATCTGAGAGATCACTTTTAGGAGAAGAAATAATAATTCATAATTTTATTTATTGTTTCTTTAGTGGGAGCAGTCTCTTGGCTGAACACATGTTGCTTTTTTATTTATGAAATGGCGCATGCATTATTAAAATAAACCAACGACTGTGTTCTGCTTAATGATATGCAAAATTATTTGAGGTTGGGTACAGAGTAGTTTTATTTCTCTACCTGTTGTATGGTTGGCTGGCTTTCCCACCAACTGCAGATTTATGAGAGCATTTAAGGAGCACATATTTAATTCTGGGACCAAAAAGCACCAGCAGATTGGAAAAACAAAAGCAGGATTTCTGGTAATGGTTTCACCTCTGATCTGTCCTTGAGTGAGGTGAGACAGATTTCACAAGGAGGAGAATGGGTCAGAAGCAGAGACTCAGAGGCAAAGTTTTGCTAATTCTCTTCCCCCCCATGCTAACCACAGGCAATTCTTTGGAGCTCAGCTCACTTCATATGTTCTCCAAAGCACCCCATTCCTCCAAGCATTTAAAGCCAGAGCCAGCAATTCAGATTCTGCTTTCTCCTCCCCTACCTGCTCTGTTCCAGGCAGCAGGATGAGGCAAAATGTCCTAAAATGTACTTGAAGTTGTGTTTTTTGTGTTATCCAAGAAACAATCTCACCCATTTTTAAGGGTATTTATTAAGAGCCCAGAAAATATGTGTTCAACTCTTGAATAATTATTTTAAAAATACGGTTGGATTTGTGAACAGGTGGGGTCCCTCAGCCTGGCCTGTGTCTTCTCTCAATCCAAACTCCATCAGGGGATGTCAGACTGCCAGGTTTTGGCCCAATAGGGCCGGAACCTGGCAGTCTGACATCCCCCTGAGGGATGTAGCAGTGCCAAAGCAGCCACACCACTCCGCTTAGCTCAGATGAGCAGCACTCCCTCTGTGGGAGCACACTGACCACCAGGGGGCAGCTCCTGCATTGAGCATCAAAGGACCCATAGATAGGTCATTCTGGTTAAGTCATAAGGGTTGCATATAGATTTTATAGCTCAAAAAACAGCTTGGGCTCACAGGCATTTTAAAGGAAATGCAAGGTAAAGGGACATTTACCCAGCCTGACTTGAGTCATTCACCCAAATGTTACAGGGGATAGCAATTCAGTGGATCAGAGAGAGTCTGGTCCCACTTGATTGTACACTTTGTGACGACAGAATAGAATGGGAATGATGAGGCACTTGCCTGTCATTCCGTGGTATAGTACAACGGTTACCAGCCTTTCGGACCTTACAGACCACCAGTGGTCTGCAGACCACCGGCTGGCGACCAATGGTGTAGTAGAACACAGGTGATAACTCTGCAGCAAGAAAATCACCAAGTGTCTATGTGATGGGCTATGCTTTGGGCACAGAGCAGCAATGTTCCCTAAAACAACACCCATGGCTTCTAAAGGCTAAAATCCTACCGTTATAGAACCATCTTTCTGTATCTTTAAAATATCACATTTAAAACTTCTTCCATTAAGATTAGTTTGGGGCAGTCTTAGTACTGAGTATGGATATGCATTTGGAGTCCCAGGTAAAGGGAGAAAGGGGAAGGGAAAGGAGACTTGCCTGGGACAATCTTCTCCTTCATCATATTCTTCCTGACTCTGGCACCTTCTGACTTTATAAGAACAGGGTAAGATTCTGGGATGATCCTGCTTTCTTGATTTTTCTGTAAGAAAAAGGAAATAAAATACTATTTACAAAATGCTCTCTGATAGAAGAAAATATATTAAATTCCCCAAATCCCCAGTTTCTGTCTTTGGGCCGCTCCTCTAATCTTGGGCAGTTTCATTTTTTCTATTTTCCAGATTGAGAGCCAATCCATGGAAACAAAGATAAGTTCTCTGTGGAGCTGATAGCAGGTTTGCACTGAGCCTGAAACCAAGAGAAGGGTTTGGCTCTTCTCCATTAGAACCACGGTTCTCATTGAATTCCAAGAAGACAACTATTTACGCCTTCCTTTAGCTCTTAGGATAATGAACTGTTTGTATCTTGTCATTCATTTTCTCTAAGAATGCCCTTTTGTTTTCTTGTTTGTTTAGGGACATGTGATCACGGTGGTGTGGTGAACATCAGCAAACCTGTTATAGTTCAGCTCAACTGGAGAGGGTTTTCTTACAAGTATGGTGCCTGGGGTCGGGATTATTCTCCTGAGAATCCAGACAAAGGGCTGTATTGGGTGGCACCTTTGAATACAGATGGGAGAATCTTAGAATATTACAGACTCCATAACACGCTGGATGATCTGCTATTGTATACAAACCCCCGAGAGTACCGGATTCAGTATGGTCAAGGTAGTGGGACAGCAGTTTATAAAAACAACATGTATATCAACTGGTACAACACCCGCAACATTGCCAAAGTTAACCTGACCACCAACACGGTTGCTGTGACTCAAGCTCTCCCTAATGCTGCTTTTAATAACCGCTTTTCATATGCTAACGTTGGTTGGCAAGATATTGATCTGGCTGTAGATGAGAATGGGTTGTGGGTGATCTATTCAACGGAAGCCAGCACTGGTAACATCGTGATTAGTAAGCTCAATGACACCACACTTACGGTGCTAGAAACTTGGCAGACCAAGCAGTATAAACCATCTGTTTCTAACGCCTTCATGGTTTGTGGGGTTCTGTATGCCACCCGTACTCTGAACACAAGAACAGAGGAAATTTTCTACTACTTTGACACAAACACAGGCAGGGAGGGCAACCTGAACATTGCCATGCCCAAGATGCAGGAAAAAGTGCAGAGCATTAATTATCACCCTTTCGAACAGAAACTTTTTGTCTATAATGATGGTTACCTTCTGAATTATGATCTTATCTTTGACCAGGTACCCCGCTAAACTATTTAGGTATTAGGGCAAGAAAAAAGTAAAATATTAGTTGAAATAAATGCTATTTTCTACTTGTTTAGATACCTGCAAGGGGATCAGAAGTATATTTGCTTAGTAGTAGTATTCTCATAGTTCTACCATACTAGAGACTTAAGATATTTGCCCTGATTTGTCTGCCTCATAGAGTGCATTTCCCTCCTGAAATAAGGCTCTTCCAGGGTGGGGTTGTCAGGGGTCTAGGGACAGTATGGACCCCCATTAAAGCCTTCAGTGAGGTGACATCTGGAAATGATAGAACTTAAAGAGTACTCTGCATGGTTTTTGGAGGTTCTTGGAATAGCAAAAAGGCTCAGTGACCAGTCTCCTCCATGTAGTCCAAATAATTCTTCCATACCTGACAAAAACCTGAGCCTAACTATGCAGAATAATACCTGAAGCTCCTTGCAGAACCAAATCTCTAACTTTGTTTTCCTGCTTGAACCTGAAAGGGTGTTTTGTATGTAGAGGATAAGTAAATTTAGCGTGCTTATATTTTATCCATAAAACCCTCTGAGTTTTCTGGAGAAAAGCCTTTTTGCATATTGAAGCATACACTGAAAACCAACCCCAAGTGGATCTGCAGAAAGGCTCTGGGTTATTTCCCCCCATTGTCTACTTATATGAAGTAGAACCCAAAATCTGGAAATAGATTTGCCAACCAATTATTGTCCCCCATCCCATCTTCTTACATCTTATTTTTAAAATAAAAATTAATCAGTTTTTTTTTCACGTATCAGATATGAGATAAAATTACCCTTTCCCCCCTCATCATGAATGTTTACTTACATGACTCTAAGGCTGTAAGAAAACCAGATGGCAGAGATAAAATGGCAGCATATCTGGTTATATAACAAAGCCCATGGAGCATATGTGAGATGTGTATGAAGTCATATCAATTGTTTCATGCAATTTTTGTCTTTGTTTAAGACTGAAACTTGTAAGAAAGTAATTTTTTTGGGGGGGGGGGAGAAATATAGAAAACCAGCTGTAAGTACATCTTCCATCAATGTAGTTTGAAAACCTTGTGGGTATATGTGCTTCTGCGCTTTCAGAGGCTTTATCATCTGGTCTTGGTATATTTGCCCCTAATGTTCATGAGTTCTGCACTATAGAACTGGCTCCTTCAATGCTGTACTCTTCTTTTTGAAATAAATGATTAGCATGTGCTTTGAAAAAAATTGTTGTCTTTTGTTTTATTTACTCTTCTAATTTAATTAGAAGAAAACTCAATAAGAAAGCTCATACTTTGCTGTGAGGTACAGAGAATGGCTACCTCCCAAACAACAAAGCCCAGGAGATCCTATACATGATGGCAAATCACATTAATAGCTTTTAAAGGAAGCCACAGTCAGGCTGGTCTTTTCATTTCCCTTTAAAATCCATTCTTTCTGGCAGCTTTTGTTGTCTGAGACTGCACTCTTTTCTGTTGGGATATGACCTTATGTTCTTATTAATTTGCATGACTGATCTGATTATTTCCGATGTTAGACTATATTTGTGTGGCTTATGTTCCTTTTCCAAATGAGTATTAACATGGGTCAGGAACCTCCAGATCTTTCCCAAACAGGAGGTCTTGCACAGCAAGCAAAGGGACTTACTGGCCATACTAGGGAGAGAGTACCTTTATCAAAGAGAAGGTGGAGGGGACAGGTGACCTAGAGCTGGAAGGACAGACCAACAAGGCTGGTGTAGTTAGTTTTACTGAAACGCTAATTTTTAATCTGTGCCGAGCCTTTTGAGGCAGGTGGTAGCTGTGATATTTAGAATTTTTAGCAGGATTTTTCAGTCATTCTAAGCTAAACATAGAGACCAGGTATGGCCTTCAAAATGCAGCAAGATATGAGGATAAAGACAGGTATGTCATGTGAGATACAAGTTAAAAACAGAAATGTTATATTTAATCTGGCTCTAGGCAATTTTCCAGATGAATGTTTCTACTGAATACACAGTATGACCTCTGGAGATTCGGGAAAGGAGGCAGGAAGCCAAGGTAACTAGCAATCAGCTCCTTATTTAAAGGGCCACAGAAGCATTTGCTTGAAAATTCCCTTCAGGACCTTCCCATTGGACACAGTACATCAGCTGCAGTGGCCACCTGCAGAAAACCTCCCTGCTGGGAAGGTTGAACAACTGAATGAATTCAGGTTCCATAGTTTCCTACAAAAAGTTATACAATACAAATTTAGCTCAGATTTATCAGCTAGCTTTCTTTTGGGAATAAAAAACAACAACCATGTACACATAGTTAAATCGGCTTTATTAAGAAGTGGTAAAATCTGCCAATTTTAAGTGAGTTATCAAATGAGTTTGACAAATGTGTACAATTGTCTCAAGGCTACCATAATTAGTCTATAAAACATTTTCATTACCCCCCCCCCTCCTGTCCAAAATGTTTCTTGTGCCTTTTTGTGGTCAACTCCTAACTCATGTCCTAGCCCCTAGCAACCGCTGATCTATTTTCTATCTCTGTGGAATCATATAATATGTAGCCTTTGAACATGACTTCTTCAGATCTCCTCTTGAAAAAGGGAACTGTGGGCTCAAATTACCCACTGAGCATCATTACCAGTGGCTGTGAGGGTTTCCTACATTTTTATAATTTGGGGAACCATTGGGGAAGTTTGAAGAGCTGTGGTGACCTGCTTGCCTCTATAAGTGTTCCCTTGGAATTGCCAGGGGAAGGAGTTGTCTAGCTCTGGGCATCAGTCAAGCCTACCTGGCAAGACTTTCCAAACCTTGAAAGTCCCCCTGACACTGGTTCAATGTTTCTTCTCCAATCTCTACCACAGTGCCACAAGCATCTCTACCTAGGTGAGTCCTGATACTAATTAATGATGTGCAGAGGTAAGAGTTTAGGATTTGGAGTCAAGCCATACTGGATTTGACTCTTGGTTCAACTATTTACAAGCAACATGGTGTTGGGCAGGTTCTTTAATTTTTCTGGTACTCTGTTTTCTGTGTAATAGGATAAAACCACCTACCTCAGAGTCCTATTGGGTAAATTAAATAGTATCTTTATATATAAAACCCTAATATGCAAATAAACTGGCTGGTGGAACAGTCACTATATTGGGCACTGACCACCAGGGAGTGTGCACAGAACATGGTGGACGACAGCGACAGGCAGCAGAGCTCCAAACATGGTGGGTGTTGGCTGTGGCAGGTTGGTGAAGCAGGTGAGTGGGGGCACCAGACCAAGAAGGGGTGCCAGTCACTGTCATTGGGGCGAGCCTCTGGTGGTTACTGAAAATTCTTTGCTCCCACATGACCTGGTCCCACCCAGTGCTCACATCTCCTGTCAGTGTTGGCCCTGCTTGCATCCCCTGCTCGGTGCTGTCAGCAGGTGCGAGCGGCCACTGCCAGCCCCAATCGCCCCTGAGGGCTCTTTCACCTCCCCCTGCTTCTGAGGGGCGATCCAGGCAACAGCCACAGCTTGCACTTACTGATGGTGCTAGCCCCACTTACATCGCTTATGGCACTGACCCTGACCCCAATCACTCTGTGCCATCAGTGTGTGGGAGCAGTGACGGCAGGAGTGGGGCTGCTAGCAGACAGGGACCAGGAGCCTCGGTTTCAGGGGCCAGGTGGGGGCATGGAGGATGGACCAAGACCCGCCTCTGTGCCCACCACAGCCTCACAGCCCACAGTTCCTTTTAGTGTGCCTGAATTCTTGCACTAGGCCCCTAATTAAGTATATAAAGTGTTTAGCACAGTCTTTGGCACATGCTCTGTCCTGAATAGGAGTTATTATCCCTGTTTCTCATTTAAACTTTAGGTTTAAATTAGGCTGGCAAGATACAAAGCTAATTGTGATCAGAGTTTACATTTCCACCCCCCTCCCCTTTAAGACTTGTTGCAATTAGTGAGTCTGTAAGCAGGTGCCCCTCAAGTATGAAAGCGTTCCAAAGGCTGGAACGCCTTCTCTCTGTCTTCAACTCCACAATTGATCCTCAGAGCTTATGTTTTTCATGTTGTGACTCCAAGGAACAGAGCAACATGAGCAGCAGAAACGGAGATGCTTTACCTTTTTTTTGAGCCACTGAAACCTAAACAAAGGCCAACTCTCATTAAGCCTCATCCGGGAACTACACACGTGCACGTGCTCTCCTACGTGCTTTGCTGTGGTCAATGGAACATCAATATTCTTTAAACAGGCATTGGCATATTTTCTGTACTCTACTTTTAGTAACATATATTTATCTTTTAAAGCTAGTTTGCACTGCCTGCCATAGGACTGTGTTTTCCTTCTCTTCTTGATTTGTGAGCTACTGAAAGGGAAATGACAATGCTTGGAGAGAGGGTGACTGTGTGGCCGCCTTCAAGATGATGGAGGGAGGTTCTGGGTGTGAGCCCCCAGTCAAATCAAACAGATGTCGCTCCATTAAGGATGATTAGCCTCCTGCGCCCCAGAATGTTCTGGAACAACAATAGGGTGAATCGTGACACATAGAAATATAAAAGGCAGACACATTTCTCAGGAATGCTCCCAGCCAGTGGAACAGACCAGCTGGCCTGGCTCATCGATGAGCGATGCTATTTGAGCTGTCAGTTCAGTTGCCAGGCCTCACATCTGTACCTCAGGATGTGCCCACTTGTCTCTGAGATCTGCATCTGCTCCTGGAATCCATTCAAAGGGAACAGCCCTTGGAATGAAGGTCCGTGGAGGAGAAAGATGGCTTCCAGCCTGTCCAGAAGGGAGGCTTCTCTTTGGATGCCACCCTTGGACATCCTGGAACCTGTGAGCCTGGTTTCCTAGACCAGATTTGGAATATTGAAAACTAACAAACAAAAACCTTTGGTGTGTTTGGGGACTTCTAAGTGGTTTTTCTGGAGTTTTGTGTATGGGAAGGATGAGGATGGAATGATGGGCCAGGGGCCAGGGTTTATATGACATCAAAGGAATTTGGTCCTTTAGCCGTCACACAGGAAATGTATGCCTAACCCCAAGGTTCTCCAATCCCCTCTCTTTT